TCAAATCTTTTCTATAATTATCGATATCGATCAATATGCATTTTTTTTTAATCGATAAGCTTTTTTTCTATATGAAACATCCAGAGAAGTGCCGCCTTGTGTCATGGTGAGTTTTTATAGAATCTACAGACTCCTAGAAGGTCTGAATTATCAATTGTAAAAATGAATAAGATTATGAGTTAAGGTTTTTAATCCTTTTACCAAATATTCACACAGTGCAGTGTGTAGTTTGCATGGGATTCGATTGCACTGGCTCCTGTATAAGTGTCAGTTATCCAGTAATAACTCATCTCTTTCGCATTTTTATTTTACTTGAGCTGCATAAAATTATTAAAAAACACAGTTGGGAAATTCTTAGTTTACAGTAGATGCAAGTATTTCAGAAGGTCCCATACTTTTAGCTCAATTCTCTGAAAATCACCAGAAAAAAGAAAATAAAGTATATTGTGTGAAACATTTACTGCGATTGAAAAAAATCCACATTATGCCACTTAGTTTGAGTTAAATCCTCTGAAACCTCCAACCTTTAGCTGCACCTCAGAGCCTCAATCTAACCCTGACAGGGTTTCCTGTCCAAACTCTTTCTAAATCTCCAAGGCTTGGTGAAAAGTTAGTAGTAGGAATTCACGATATTGGGATTTTAGATCGATACTGCGTCAATATATCAACATATAAAAATATGGCAAAATTTCGTGAATTTTCGGGGGATTTCGTAGCATAACGATGACATATAGCAATATTTCATTAGTAAAAGAGATTGATATGGTGTTTTTAAATGGCAATATATCAGCATATGAAGATATTGTGATATTTTAATGTATCAATATTTTTTCCTTCGTCTTTAGAAGTTTTTAAGTCTGTAAAAAAGAAAATTTTGAGGAAGAAGAAAAAGTAAGTAGTATTTTTTTTTTTAGGCTTTAGAAACTCAGAAGCTGATAAAATATCGGGTTAAATATCGGTGGGGTGGCCGATATCCGATATTCAGTTTTAAGGCCGATACCGATAGGGGGCCGAATATATCGTGCATCCCTAGTTAGCAGCCCTGAATTATTGTTATTTTTTTACTGATTAACGCTAAATTCATTAAATCACTCCGAATAGTTTTAGGTATAATGATGATCCATTAATTATTCCTTGCTGACTCAAAATTTCCTTTAACTGTCTGCATTTTGGTTATATTTCAGCCCAGTTTTTTAGTGTGCCATGAATTATTTAGGGTTCAAAAAACACAAAACAGGCAGCGCTTATAGAGCAAACACTGGCCTGGCGCCGTTAAATCAGATCAAGCTGCAGTGAGAGAGGACCCACAGGTTAACAGCAGAGGCGTAGCCAGAACATTTTAATAAGGGTGGCCAGGCAATAACCAATGTAGACTGAGGGGGGGCCAAAGTAGATCTACACTGATCCAACAGCACAACGCCCATATTTCTAAATAAAGACAAATTATAGTTTCCTACAGCCTTTGCTAACAAATAGATGCACATATTTAAACATCCGTCTGGATAAAAGGCATATTGGATAAAATTCTTTCAGGTTTGAGTTCTGGAGCGAACATCTTTTCCATCGTCATTACTTACCTACTTTTATCAATAATCATTCTGCATTAAATTAATATTTACAAGCACCAATATCTACATAAATTGATAATTTAATAGGTTTCTATTAAAATAGTTATTTACAGCATCTATGATTTCACTGAAGACTCTTAGATGACTTTCAGACATCATTTTCTCTTTATAACACAAAATCTTGTTCTGAAAGAGCATGAATTCTGTACTAATCATCTCTAACGTTGGTATATTGATGAGCATAATTAACCACAGGGTTTTGTTGTCAAGTAATTGTTAATATATATAAAATTTTATTGTTTTGAATATTCTGCTTGAGAGAAAAAAAAATGGTGGTGGTGGGGGGGGCAATGATTGGCTAAGGGTGGCCATGGCCACCCCTGGCCCCTCATCTAGCTCCGCCCCTGGTTAACAGACCTCTTTCTTCTCCAGGTGTGCTAAAAGACTGACCTCTTTCCGGTCTGTTACTATTAACATGTAATTAGTAACAGACCGGAAGTCTGTTTGAGATCAAATATTGTAAAGACACACATAGGAGAAGATGGAGCAAAGCGAAGCAGCCGTTGCTAACAGGTATTAGCCACGCAGCTAGCTCTGCCAGAGATGGGTACCTACACGGATGAAGTGGCCCCCCGGGGGCCTGCTGAACACAAAGCGGTTCCCCGAAAACGGTCCTTGTCCTGGATGAGGAAGGGGGCCGGGTCCCAGGGGTCTGTAGTGTGGAGCCCCGGGATGCAGGGGCCTCTGCTCGGGTGGATCCGGTCGGTACATGACCCAGAAAGGACAAGCCTCACAGCATCAATTAAACACCTGGATCCCTCTCTGCTCTGACCAGATCAGCTTGCTACACTTTAAGGGCTGAGATTACGGTTCACATGAGGTTCCCCCGGAAATACAACCGGAGGAAAACATTTATCTTCTTGAGTGAAAATGAACCCGGAAAGTGCTCCTTAGCGCCACCAAATGGTTTGGAGGTTAAATTCTTCAGGAGGAGAGTCCAAAGATGGGAAATGAGTCCTGGGTTTATTTCATCCCAGCAGGGAGGAAAAAACTGATCAATTCTGATTTAGGAATTTCTAGTTTACATATTTACACAAAAATATTTATAGTGTTAAATATAGTCTCTGTTTATGCACCTTGACGCTCTATCTCTCCGCCTCTTTTCCCTGAAAAGAGATCACTCGGGACAAACTCTTTGAATAACTCTTCAAAACTTATATGGATTAAATAACCAGGAAACATGACAACAGATTCTGATAGAAGTTGAAATCTTACTCAGATCAGAGAAGTTGCTTAGAGTTTACAGAAGGCAGCTGCTCTCCTCCAGGAAGTGGCCCAGATGAAGTTAAAAAGGCATTTTATACATCTCCAGTCTGCCACTACATCTTATTTTACATCATACATATTAGCAGATGATTAGACATCCATGGCTCCAGCCTTATAAAAATATTACACTTCATTCTTAGCTGAATATAATGGTTAGGGCATAGAGCTAGGAAGACACTCTGGGTCCCTGAGAAAGACCCTTAACCCTACACTGCTCCCCGGGTGCCGCACAATGGCAGCCCACTGCTCCCCAAGGTGATGGGTTTAATGCAGAGAGTAAAAATTGTCCAATGTGAGATCAATGAAGCTGAATTATTCTAACGGTTCAATAAAAATAACCAGACTGCATGCAGAAAGTGGGATGGTTTTTGAAACTTTTATTGCATGTTTACATCCATACAAAGCTTCCAACATTTCAAGGTGTATTCACATGGCTGCACACGTTGGCATCCTTTAAATAGGTAACACAGGAAAATCCAGCCAGACACTGAAATGAAAACAGACTGGAAAATGTACATTACTTTCAAGTAATCTTGGAGATTCAGTGACCCCCTTCGTGAAGCTAAGGCGTGTCCTGGACACAGACGTGAGGAACGTCTTCTTCGTTCAGTCAGATCAGGGCTGTAAGGCTTCAACACCGATTATTAAAGGAAAGTTGAAAACAGGCCAGGATGCAGAAGCTAACGTTAGCAATCGGTTAACAGTCCATAGAGCACAGGTGACCAAAATAATAATTGGTGGTTTAAATGTCTCTTGTTTAATAATTTTCTTGTTCCAGTTTGTTGAAGCTGTAACATAACGGATGAGGCTTTCTGCGGAGGATGATGATGATGGAGTTGGTGCTGCACCTTCAGCTGGTGTAGTGTCTGCCTTGGTTGAACCCCGCCTGGTTGTACTGCTGCCCTCCATGCTGGAAAAACTGTTCAAACTGTCCTCCTTGGCTAAAACTCTGACCCCCTCTACCCCCCCAGCCCCCTCTTCCCCTGCCCCCTCGACCTCCCCGACCCCCACCTCTTTCCTGGTGCCAGCCTCCGTCCTGGTTGTAAGTGCTGTGGTATCCCCCCCCTCCTCCGTGAAAGCCCTGATCCTGGAAACCTCCTTGGTTGGCTCCTGTGTAACCTCCTCTGCCTCCTCCCCTGTGATAATTTCCTCCTTCTTGGTAGTGAGTCTGGCTGTAACCCCCTCTCCCCCCTCCGGTTCCATCACCCCAGCCTTCCTTGCCCCTCCCCCCTCTCGCGCCAGCTCCTCTCCCTGCCCTGTCGTCGTGGCCCCCTCCACGCCCTCTTTCGTAGACTCCGGAGCCGCCGTGGGAGAAATTGTCATAGCCTCCTCTGCTGCCACCGTGTCCTCCACCGTAGTGGCCCCCGCCTTGAGGGGCATCCTGACGCTTCTGCCAGGACGGCATCTCTGGGGGCGGAGGCTCAATCTCACAGGGTCGTCCACCCCTGTCTGGCACTCGGCCCATCAGAACCTGAGGAGGAAACAGGAGTTACTCAAGTTGTTGAAAAGCCTACGCTGTTAGCCTGTTAGGTAGTATGTTTCAAGAGGAGTGAAAGTAAAAGAGGAAGAATGTGTTCAGTTTATAATAACCTTCCTATTCTGGTTTCTTAATCATTTCAGAGACAGGATGAGGTTCCTGAATATATGTAAACTCAGTTATTAGATCCAATAATCCTGTAATAGGGATTATTAGGAAGGGTCACAGCAGGTGTTTCAGCTGAGCAAAATAAGGCAGCGGCTTGGATAAGGCGCCAATTTGTAAGACGTGCCATAAAACCATTGCTGCGTAAGGTAGCATTTTCAAAAAATGAGCTCAAACATATATTTATTTCCTATTGTAACACAACACACTGATGGTAAATGGCATGTACTTATATAGCACCTTTATTCAAGTTAGGAGACTTGACCAAAGCGCTTTACACTACATTCATTCACCCATTCACACACTGATGGTGGCAAGCTACATTGTAGCCACAGCTGCCCTGGGGCTCACTGACAGAAGCGGGGCTGCCGTACACTGGCAATGCCTTCTAGTGCATTATTAATAAAAACAATGTTTTAAAAAATGACAAATAACAGCCAATACCGGTGTCAACAGAAATATATCATGCATGCCTAGTATGGAAACAATTTCAATTCCATCCATCCAGGAAAAGATGGATGGATCATAAATGGATGGATGGATGGATCACAAATAGATGGATGGATAGAGGATAAATGGATAGACGAATGGATGATAAACGGATAGATGATAAACGGATGGATGATAAATGGATAGATGGACGGATGATAAACGGATGGATGATAAACGGATGGATGATAAACGGATGGATGATAAATGAATGGATGATAAATGAATGGCTGGACGGATGATAAACGGATGGATGATAAACGGATGGATGATAAATGGATAGATGATAAACGGATGGATGATAAATGAATGGCTGGACGGATGATAAACGGATGGATGATAAACGGATGGATGATAAATGAATGGCTGGACGGATGATAAACGGATGGATGATAAACGGATGGATGATAAACGGATGGATGATAAATGAATGGCTGGACGGATGATAAACGGATGGATGATAAACGGATGGATGATAAACGGATGGATGATAAATGGATAGATGGACGGATGATAAACGGATGGATGATAAATGGATGGATGATAAATGAATGGCTGGACGGATGATAAACGGATGGATGATAAACGGATGGATGATAAATGAATGGCTGGACGGATGATAAACGGATGGATGATAAACGGATGGATGATAAATGGATAGATGATAAACGGATGGATGATAAATGAATGGCTGGACGGATGATAAACGGATGGATGATAAACGGATGGATGATAAACGGATGGATGATAAATGAATGGCTGGACGGATGATAAACGGATGGATGATAAACGGATGGATCATAAACGGATGGACGATAAATGGATGGACGATAAATGGATGGACGATAAATGGATGGACGATAAATGGATGGACGGATGATAAATGGACGGATGATGAATGGACGGATGATAAATGGATGGATGGACGATAAATGGATGGATGATAAATGGATGGATGGATGATAAATGAATGGATGATAAATGGATGGATGGATGATAAATGGATGGATGGATGATAAATGGACGGATGATAAATGGATGGATGGATGGATGATAAATGGATGGATGATAAATGGATGGATGGATGATAAATGAACGGATGATAAATGGATGGATGGACGATAAATGGATGGATGCTAAATGGATGGATGGATGGATGGATGATAAACGGATGGATGATAAATGGATGGACGGATGATAAATGGACGGATGATAAATGGATGGATGGACGATAAATGGACGGACGGATGATAAATGGACGGATGATAAATGGATGGATGGACGATAAATGGATGGATGATAAATGGATGGATGGATGGATGATAAACGGATGGATGATAAATGGATGGATGATAAATGGATGGATGGATGATAAACGGATGGATGATAACTGAATGGATGGATGATAAATGAATGGATGATAAATGGATGGATGGATGATAAATGGATGGATGGATGATAAATGGATGGATGGATGATAAATGAATGGATGGATGATAAATGAATGGATGATAAATGGATGGATGGATGATAAATGGATGAATGGATGATAAATGGATGGATGGATGATAAATGAACGGATGATAAATGGATGGATGGATGGATGATAAATGGATGGATGGATGATAAATGAACGGATGATAAATGGATGGACGATAAATGGATGGACGGATGATAAATGGACGGATGATAAATGGATGGATGGACGATAAATGGATGGATGATAAATGGATGGATGGACGATAAATGGATGGATGATAAATGGATGATAAACGGATGGATGATAAATGGATGGATGGATGATAAATGGATGGATGGATGATAAATGGATGGATGGATGATAAACGGATGGATGATAAACGGATGGATGATAAATGGATGGACGGATGATAAATGGATGGATGATAAATGGATGGATGATAAACGGATGGATGATAAACGGATAGATGATAAATGAATGGATGGATGATAAATGGATGGATGGATGATAAATGGCTGGATGATAAAGGGATGGATGATAAAGGGATGGATGATAAAGGGATGGATGGATGATAAATGGATGGATGATAGATGGATGGATGATAAATGGATGGACGGATGATAAATGGACGGATGATAAATGGATGGATGGACGATAAATGGATGGATGATAAATGGATGGATGATAAATGGATGGATGATAAACAGATGGATGATAAATGGATGGATGGATGATAAACGGATGGATGATAAATGGATGGATGGATGATAAACGGATGGATGATAAATGGATGGATGATAAACGGATGGATGATAAATGGATGGATGATAAACGGATAGATGATAAATGAATGGATGGATGATAAATGGATGGATGGATGATAAATGGATGGATGGATGATAAATGGCTGGATGATAAAGGGATGGATGATAAAGGGATGGATGGATGATAAATGGATGGATGATAAATGGATGGACGGATGGATGATAAATGGATGGATGGATGGATGATAAATGGATGGATGGATGGATGATAAATGGATGGATGGATGGATGGATGATAAATGGATGGATGATAAAGGGATGGATGGATGATAAAGGGATGGGTGGATGGATGATAAATGGATGGATGATAAAGGGATGGATGGATGATAAAGGGATGGATGGATGATAAAGGGATGGATGATAAATGGATGGATGATAAAGGGATGGATGGATGATAAAGGGATGGATGGATGATAAAGGGATGGATGGATGATAAAGGGATGGATGGATGATAAAGGGATGGATGATAAAGGGATGGATGGATGATAAAGGGATGGATGATAAAGGGATGGATGATAAAGGGATGGATGGATGATAAAGGGATGGATGGATGATAAAGGGATGGATGGATGATAAAGGGATGGATGATAAAGGGATGGATGGATGATAAAGGGATGGATGATAAAGGGGTGGATGGATGATAAATGGATGGATGATAAAGGGATGGATGGATGATAAATGGATGATGGATGATAAATGGATGATGGATGATAAATGGATGGATGGATGATAAATGGATGGATGATAAAGGGATGGATGATAAATGGATGGACGAAAGCTACAGCCTTGACTTATTTGAAGGGAGTTTGAAGCTCATCTACCTTATTAATGGCGCAGGCCGTCTTCTCCCTCATCTTGCCGCTACTCGTCCGAAGGATCTTGGAGATGTCTTGTCGTGCGGCAAGAAGGTGAGCAACAGAGATGTTACTGTTTGTGAGGAGGGCAGAGCGCAGAGGCTGGTACACTCTACTCAATTTCTCTGCTTGGGTCTGTAGGATACATGAAAGAGGAAAAAGGGTTTTGTAACAGTAAAACATACGACTAGAGGCATGGCTGATATACACTATATTGCCAAAAGTATTTGCTCACCCATCCAAATTATTGGAATCAGGTGTTCCAATCACTTCCATGGCCACAGGTGTATAAATTCAAGCACCTAGGCATGCAGACTGTTTTTACAAACATTTGTGAAAGAATGGGTCGCTCTCAGGAGCTCAGTGAATTCCAGCGTGGAACTGTGATAGGATGCCACCTGTGCAACAAATCCAGTCGTGAAATTTCCTCGCTCCTAAATATTCCACAGTCAACTGTCAGCTGTATTATAAGAAAATGGAAGTGTTTGGGAACGACAGCAACTCAGCCACGAAGAGGTAGGCCACGTAAACTGACGGAGCGGGGTCAGCGGATGCTGACGCGCATAGTGCGAAGAGGTCGCATACTTTCTGCAGAGTCAATCACTACAGACCTCCAAACTTCATGTGGCCTTCAGATTAGCTCAAGAACAGTGCGCAGAGAGCTTCATGGAATGGGTTTCCATGGTCGAGCAGCTGCATCCAAGCCATACATCACCAAGTGCAATGCAAAGCGTCGGATGCGGTGGTGTAAAGCACGCCGCCACTGGACTCTAGAGCAGTGGAGACGCGTTCTCTGGAGTGACGAATCGCGCTTCTCCATCTGGCAATCTGATGGACGGGTCTGGGTTTGGCGGTTGCCAGGAGAACGGTACTTGTCTGACTGCATTGTGCCAAGTGTAAAGTTTGGTGGAGGGGGGATTATGGTGTGAGGTTGTTTTTCAGGAGCTGGGCTTGGCCCCTTAGTTCCAGTGAAAGGAACTCTGAATGCTTCAGCATACCAAGACATTTTGGACAATTCCATGCTCCCAACTTTGTGGGAACAGTTTGGAGCTGGCCCCTTCCTCTTCCAACATGACTGTGCACCAGTGCACAAAGCAAGGTCCATAAAGACATGGATGACAGAGTCTGGTGTGGATGAACTTGACTGGCCTGCACAGAGTCCTGACCTCAACCCGATAGAACACCTTTGGGATGAATTAGAGCGGAGACTGAGAGCCAGGCCTTCTCGTCCAACATCAGTGTGCGACCTCACAAATGCGCTTCTGGAAGAATGGTCAAAAATTCCCATAAACACACTCCTAAACCTTGTGGACAGCCTTCCCAGAAGAGTTGAAGCTGTTCTAGCTGCAAAGGGTGGACCGACGTCATATTGAACCCTATGGATTAGGAACGGGATGTCACTTAAGCTCATATGTGAGTCAAGGCAGGTGAGCAAATACTTTTGGCAATATAGTGTATATGGGATTGAAGGCATCTCTAATCTTATTGCTGTTCTCACAGAGTAACGCTATAAGCCGATCATTTCCGGGGAAACAGGTAAACCATATTCCCTCTATAGATTATCTGTTGCTGATCAAGAGATCCAGTATTTGTTCAACTACGATAACAGCATTTCATCCCATTGCAGACGTTCGATACTGACCCCTGTCCATCTGAGGACGACGGCCAGAAAGAGACAGACAGAGAGAGAGACAGAGAGACCATGAACTCCTTTTATTGGTCCAATATGTCATTACAAAAAACTCACAAGTGAATTATATATATACAATCATCCTAACAGCCCGAAATCCAAACAAAAAACCCTCAAAAACTGAGAGTAAGCTATTCATCAATTACACAACATAAAATATCTCTACCTCCCCATATACAGATGAACTCTTGCAAGTCTGACCATCTTATAATAGGCAAACTCTGTCCTAATACGTGCAGCTACCAGCCCTCTGAGCATCAGGTCAACATCTACAGAACCTTTCTCTTTCATTTTATTTCTCCTGCTGAGCCAAATGCTCATCTTTGCCTGACCAAACAAAATATTAACCAAACAAATATTACGCCGTTGTGCTACTGAGTATCTGGGACCAAAAATAAACAGTTCGTTATTAAAACTGAATCCTAATCCGCCCACCCACTGCTTTAACAACAAGAGAGGAACCAGTCTGGAACATCTTAGCCAGAGATACTGTAGCGTTTCCTCAGCCTGAAAAAAGGCACACTGACTCCCTGATCTGTGAGAGACAAAGAGACAGACAGAGAGGGCCAGAGAGAGAGACAGAGACAGATAGAGACAGAGAGAGAGAGAGACAGAGAGAGACAGATAGAGAGAGAGAGAGACAGAGACAGATAGAGACAGAGAAAGATAGGTAGAGAGAGAGACAGAGAGATATAGGTAGAGACTTATGATTGATGTTGAAAATCAGCCTGTTGTAGTCCTGTTTCTCTTGACTGTGACTAACTGGATGTGCTCTCTTTCATCCTCTGACATGTGAGCTGGCTCTGAGCTCGTCTGCCTGGCTGTGTGTTTCCTGGATGGGGCCGCCTGTGGAGCTGGTTGACAGTTGCCTTTTGTTTCTCTGCTTCTGACACTGGTGTTTTGCGGGTACTATTTAATGAAGATGCCAGTTGGGGACCTGTGAGGCGTCCGTTTCTCAAACTAGAAACTCTAATGTACTTATCTTCTTGCTCAGTTGTGCAACGTGGCCTCCCACTTCTTTTTCTACTCTGGTTATAGCCTTTTTGTGCTGTCCTCTGAAGGGAGTAGTGCACACCGTTGTAGGAAATCTTCAATTTCTTAGCAATTTCTCGCATGGAATAGCCTTCATTTCTAAGAACAAGAATAGACTGTCGAGTTTCAGATGAAAGTTCTCTATTTCTGGCCATTTTGAGCGTTTAACTGACCACACAAATGTGATGCTCCAGAAACTCAATCTGCTCAAAGGAAGGTCAGTTTTGTAGCTTCTGTAACGAGTTACAATGTTTTCAGATGTGTGAACATGATTGCACAAGGGTTTTCTGATCATCAATCAGCCTTCTGAGCCAATGAGCAAACACATTGTACCATTAGAACACTGAGTGATAGTTGCTGGAAATTGGCCTCTATACACCTATGTAGATATTGCACCAAAAACCAGACATTTGCAGCTGGAATAGTCATTTACCACATTAGCAATGTATAGAGTGTATTTCTTTAAAGTTAAGACTAGTTTAAAGTTATCCTTATTGAAAAGCACAGTGCTTTTCCTTCGAAAATAAGGAAATTTCAATTTGACCCCAAACTTTTGAACGGTAGTGTATATGTAAAATAAGTCAAAAATACCAATAAAAAGTTAAATGAAACTAATAAAAAAAAGAAGTACCAAGATACATGAAAATGTGACGATTAGGTTTCAGGTCCGTTTCAGTTGTATTCTGAGTAGATCCACAGAAATCAAAGCAGTCCTGGCTGCACTTTCTCCTCTGTTGGTTTGCTGATTGTCTTGATGTATTTGTAGACCGTTTTTCAGTTTGTCATTGTTGATAAATGTAAGTTTAACCTTTAGTAGTATGTTTAAGTTACACTTTCTGAGTGAATTAACCTATGAAACATAATATTGTAGCTAAAAATTATCGCATGTCTACATTATGAAATTTCCACAAAAGTACGGTAAGAACAAAAAACAAACAGTTAGCTGTATTACACCGCTAAATGCAGGAACTAGCGTTTAAGAGTCTAAAGTTAAATATTTTCCAGGGGAGGATACCCCAGGACCCCCCCCTACAATGCTCACATCTGTGGCATAAAAGTCAGACAAATTATGAAATTATTTTTGCCATTTGGTTTTTCGATCCCTTTGTAAAAAAAAAAAAAAGGTTAGATGAAGATATATGCCGAATATCCATGCCGGTGGGGACTTACCTTTGCTCTTTCAGACCAGCCGAAGGATTGCACGGTTACATCAAGACGTTTCAACAACATCTTTCTTCTCACTTCATATTCATTTACAAGAGCTTGGTTTATAGCCTCAACCTTTTCCTTATAGAAAAAAAAAACAAAAAAAGAAAAGAGACAAACATTCACTTTTTCCATCAACTGGCAAATGGACATAACGGTCATATAGTAGAATTTACCATATGCACAGGTCCAAAGGGCTTCTTCATCAGAGGTTCCCCAACATGGTTTGGTGGAACCCTACTTATGGCTTCTTTTAACTGAGATGGAAAAATACAGAAAGATATTAAATGGATCAACAATTGATCTTAAAGCACTTTTAGATTCCTCCTCCATTTTAGATGTGATTAATCTCTCCTTGTTACAGGGATATGTACCAAAGGCTTTAAGGTTGCTGTAATTAAACCTTTACTTAAGAAACTGTCTCTTGATCCAGATGATTTGGTCAATTATAGACCTATATCCAATCTTCCTTTCTTATCTGAAATTCTAAAAAAAAAAAAGTAGTTGCCATTTCTTTTTTCCTTTTTTTTTTTTAAGAGTTTCAGTTTGGCTTTAGAGCTCATCATAGCATAGACAAAGCAGAAGTTATAGTCTTTAGAACAGATTCTTTGAAAAAGAAGCCGATTAGTCAGTCATTTTATTTGGATGGGATTAAACCAATTTCAGATAATTAAGTAAAACATCTTGGTGTTATTTTTTATCTTTTAGTTATCAGGCTCCTCTCCTGTGGAACCAACTACCAGTTTTAATCTGTGAGGCAGACACCCTGTCTAGTTTTAAGGTAGGCTTAAAACTTTTCTTTTTGATAAAGCTTATAGTTAGAGTGGCTCAGGTTATTCTAAACTATCTCTATAGTTATGCTGCTATAGGCTTAGACTGCTGGAGGACATAAGGAACCTTTTTCATCCTCCTGCTTCATTCTATCTCTATTCTCCTATTCTGCAGAATCTGTTAGTTCAATCTCTAACGTTCTGCTCTCTCTGCTTTTTCTCATAGTAGCTTCATCTGCTCTGTTCCTGTTTGGCTGTGACTCCATCCTGAAAAGAAATATCAGCTGTGCCATCATACCTTGGTTTATACATGGAGATTGGCATGTTTTTCAGTGTGGTCCTGTTTCTCTGACTGACTAACTAGATGTTCTCTCTTGATCCTTCTACATAAAAACAGGCTCAAAGCTCATCTCCTTAACAGTTTCTTTCCCAGAAAGATACACCTGTGGAGCTAGTTAGCTTTTCTAACAAAGTATTTATATGCTGTTTCCTTTCTATGTCTGCTTCTGTCTCCTTGAACCCCAGTCAGACTCGGCAGATGGCCGCTCACACTGAGCCTGGTTCTGGATCTGTGAGTTTTCCTCTCAACTGTCACTGTGTGCATGCTCAGTGTAAGGGAATCGCTGAAGAGTCAATGAATCTAGAATTGAACCCATCTGACTGTATGATCTGGTTGAATTGTCTCTGTAAAGTGTCTTGAGATTTCATGTTGTGATTTGGAGCGAGAGAAAACGTGAAGAAAAACTAAAAAGTATTTCTTGTCAGACAGACCTTCTTCTCAATTCCGGAGAAGAACTGGAACATGGTGATGTTGGGTGGAGGTTTGGACATGCCAAGGGCCATGCAGATGCCCTTCAGTTCCTGGAAGACCGGACTGCAAGATTCTTGGGCTTTCCTCTGAGGCTTGTTAACCAGAATCATCCTGGATGCATCCAATTCGGACAATAAAAAGGCTGCAGGAGGAAGAGAACATTAAATGATCCTCGCTTTGGCTTGAGACAGACACTAGATTTATATATAACTATCTGTTCAAATATCATTACTACCATTTTATCTAGTTAAACCACAATAACAGCACCCAGCATCTGCAGTGGAACAAATCAGATCTGAGTTTTTCAGACTGTCATGAAATGATTAGATCCAGGTTGCATATGGGAAAAAAATAAAATTTAAATTTGGGTAAATTCAGGCTGCTGTGTGAATGTAGCCTAACTCGATACAGCATGAATCGATCGATGAATGCACACCTATAAAGAGGCGTGTTCAAGGTACCAGCTCAATCAGAACCATGAGTGCAGAAGGGAGAGCGCCATATTCCTTTTGTGAGGAACAAAAACTCACCAAAATACGAACAGGGAAAAAAAGGCGCGGCAAATGACAAAGCAAAGGATTGCTGACTGGTTAAGCTCTGTTTGCTACAGGGCGTGAAGGTACGTGCGCCAAAGGTTTATTAATCATGCGGTGCAGCCTCAGCACTAGGTTGCACACTCCCAAATTTCTTTTTACTTGGAGCAGTCTTTGTGCGGCAGCCTGGTTCCAAATGTGAGGATTTAAAGTTGTTCTCTTTGAATGGGTTTGCCTTCACTGACATCAAATGGTTCAGAAGGTTCCAGTGAAACCGCGTGGTTAAATGCAGGGGCGAGTTTATTGGCCAATCATGATGTAAAAAGAAAGATTTTAGTTACCATTTCCATTACATAAAATATAAATAAAGTCTGAAACAACCACACATAGTAGGCAATAGGGCTGAGAAATTAATTACATTTGCAACATAATCGCAATTTAACAAAAGGCAATTGTCAAATTGTTAAATCACAATATATTTAACAAGAGTGGGACACTAAATTTCATCCATGGTTTGTCGCCATACAGAAATGTAGTGAGAGTTGCAGCTAGCACGCAGATCCATGCATGCAAGTAGAAGTAAACACTCTTTTTTTTCCACAATAATTACAGTGAAGTCCTGTAACAATGGACTCTGGGAAAACAGGCTCACCAAAACCAAAAGCCTGTGATGAAACATCTACAAGCTTGGGGTTAGTGCAAAGGAAAATCCAATAAAAAAAAAAATATATAAAAATATCACAATTTTGGTGGAAAATAATCACAATTTAGATTTTTTTGGTAAAATCATTCTGCCCCAGTATAAAACTCATTTTGCATTTATTTAGTGAAAGATTTTATTTTTTTATATATCCATATGGGCTTCACATGCAGGCTGGATTCCCCATCCTCACATCACTCATAGTGCAGCAGGTTAAGCTAACATTTTGTTCCATCGTATATTTCTGAGTAAAACATCTATTATTCTTCAATAATCATAAATTCTTAAACAATACAGCGCTTGGCCATTTTTTGCATTGGGGCATCAACTGTTTCTTTTTTTATTTCCTGCCTTTCCAGATGAGTGATGGATGGATGGATGGATGGATGGATGGATGGATGGATGGATGGATGGATGGATGGATGGATGGATGGATGATGGATGGATGGATGGATGGATGGATGATGGATGGACTGATGATGGATGGATGGACTGAGGATGGATGGATGGACTGAGGATGGATGGATGGACTGAGGATGGATGGATGGACTGAGGATGGATGGATGGACTGATGATGGATGGATGGACTGAGGATGGATGGATGGACTGAGGATGGATGGATGGATGGATGGATGATTGATGGATGGACTGACGATGGATGGATGGATGGATGGATGATTGATGGATGGACTGATGATGGATGGATGGACTGATGATGGATGGATGGACTGATGATGGATGGATGGATGATTGATGGATGGATGATTGATGGATGGATGGACTGATGATGGATGGATGGATGATTGATGGATGGATGGATGATTGATGGATGGACTGATGATGGATGGATGGACTGATGATGGATGGATGGACTGATGATGGATGGATGGATGGATGATTGATGGATGGACTGATGATGGATGGATGGACTGATGATGGATGGATGGATGGATGGATGATTGATGGATGGACTGATGATGGATGGATGGACTGACGATGGATGGATGGATGGATGGATGATTGATGGATGGACTGATGATTGATGGATGGACTGATGATGGATGGATGGACTGACGATGGATGGATGGATGGATGGATGGATGATTGATGGATGGATGGATGATGGATGGATAATGGATGGATGGATGATGGATGGACTGATGATGGATGGATGGATGATTGATGGATGGATGGATGATGGATGGATAATGGATGGATGGATGATGGATGGACTGATGATGGATGGATGATTGATGGATGGATGGATGGATGATTGATGGATGGATGGTTGATGGATGGATGGACTGATGATGGATGGATGATTGATGGATGGATGGATGATTGATGGATGGATGGACTGATGATGGATGGATGGATGATTGATGGATGGATGGATGATTGATGGATGGATGGACTGATGATGGATGGATGGATGATTGATGGATGGATGGATGATTGATGGATGGATGGACTGATGATGGATGGATGGATAACCGGTTAATGGGTGGACGGATGATGGACAGACGGATGATGGACGAAGGATGGACGGACGGATGATGGATGGATAAACGGATGGACGGATAAACGGATGGATAAAGGGATGATGGATGGATAAAGGAATGACGGACGGACGGATGACGGAGGGACGGTTGACAGACGGACAAATGATGGACAGAAGGACGGATGATGGACGGAGGATGGATTGAAGGATGGACGGAGGATGGATGGACGGAGGATGGATTGAAAGATGGACGGAGGATGGATTGAAGGATGGACGGAGGATGGATTGAAGGATGGACGGAGGATGGATGGATAAACGGATGATGGATTGACTGATGATGGATGTGATTTACAGCACATCTTATAAATGCCTGGACTTCAGTTCAGCTATCAACACCATCATCCCACAGCATCTGATAGGAAAACTGGAACAGCTGCAATACACCCCCCCAGTAACTGGCTGCTGAGGTCTGTTGGTCAGTCCGGGTTGAACAGAACACCTCTGATGTCATCACCCTAGGCACAGGCTCCCCTCAGGGCTGCCGTCCCCTGAGCCCGTGACATCATCAATGACCCCTAACACCCCCATCATGGACTGTTCTCCCAGCTGCCTTCTGGGAAGAGGCTTCACAGCATCTAATGCAGATCCACCAGATTCCATAACAGCTTCTTCCCCGCTGCCATCAGACAGCTTAATGTTAAGCAAACTCTAAATCAAGTCAGACTCTGCATCACACTAATAACTAATAACCAAAATACTTCATAATTGCACCATATATATTTCATTGCTCTGAACTTCCATATTAATGAGTTTCTTTGCGCCATGTTTTTTTTCTCCCACACTGTTTACATTTGATCACTGCTGCAATTTAAGGAAAGGAAATGTCATGAAAGTTGTACAAAATGTTACACAAAATGAAAATAAAATTGTCTAAGTGTCTAAGTTTAGGTGGGACTGAGAACACCAGATTCCGTCTGGAAGCAGGCAACTTTTGTACAAAAGGTCCAGATCAATAGACTCTTCTATTTACAGCAGAGCAGGTGTGAACACAGCCACAGAAAGCGGGGCACCTCAGGAGGTGAGGATGAAGATGGTAGACCAACTCTACTGAACAGATGGGGTGTCCAGTCCCACGTTTAGACACGTTCAAAAGTAAAGTACTGCATTTCCACCCATCAGTGCCAATTCTGAGTCTGGGCAACAGGATAAACGACCTGTGCCAGCTTCACCATGAATGTAGATGTGTTGGTGTGGTGTCAAAGACGTACTGATCAGGAGCAGACAGTCCGTTCTGCTCAGAAACCTCTGGGTGACGTGTCCACTGGTCAGACAGCTGTAAGGGCAGGCGAGTTCGGAAAGAAGGCCACTCATCTCCAGCTGGAAGCCCTCTGCCTCGCTGGGACCTGGAGAAAGCAAAAAAAACATCATCAAACAGGGTTCCTACAGCATAAGGCAAGTTAAATTCAAGACTTTTTAAGAGTCTTGAATTTAACATTTAGTGTTTACACGGCCCTAAGAGACATGTATAACTTTTTTTATTTTGAAACATAAATACTGCTCTCTGCATCATCGTCCAGCATTGTTGTTGTTTTTCTTGCCACTTCTGCATAGCAAGAAGCAGAAGAGTGACCACTATCTGGTATTAATGACATTCAGGTCGGATGAATGCGACCTGGCCGTTCAGACGCAGGTCGCATTTGAAAAGATCAGATTCGTATTGGATTCAGGGCCTCATAGCCAAACGGCCTGGGTTGCACTGGAAAAAAAAAATCTGATCTGTGTTGTTCAGACTGTCATGAAAAGATCAGATCCAGGTCGCATATTGGCCCAAAAAAATAAAAATAAAAAATTGGATTTGGGTCACTTCAGGCTGCGGTGTGAACGTAGCCAAAGACATGATCCCAGCTTTGTGGGAGCAGTCTGGATCTGGATCCTTCCTCTTCCAAAATGGCACAGAGCAAAGTCCATGAAGAAGAGGAAAAGGAGCTGTACAGTGGAGGTTTTGTCAGATATATTTTAATTGTGTACATGATTTACAGCCGTGTTTTGTTCGAAGGACGCACATCCTATAAACGGCAGCAGAGGTAGGATTAACAAAGAGGTTGAATGAAACTTACAGTTAGTAGCATGGACGTTTTCCTCCAGCTTCAGATACAGTCTGAGCTCCGAGACGATCCAGGCAGATAGCTTGGTGAACTCTGGGGAAGCTGCTCCTTTGGTGACAACAGCATCCAGGGCTCCATCCTCCATCAGAGGGCCCTGGTAGCTGGAAGAACACCAAGACCAATCAGCTGACATATTTCAAACCACAGCTGCTATTGCATCAAGCAAGCAAGGAAAGAAACAGAAAGTAAGAGTGGACGGAACATCAGCTCCTAAACCCACAAGTCCGACCAAAATGTTTGTTTTTCTGACCAAATGAGCTAATTTCATTAGCTAGAAGCTGCTCGACTGCTTAAACATACGGCTTTACGATCGATCAGAAGCAGTTCCACGCAAAAATATCATGATTTAATATATCTGAGGAAATTGTTTTTATTAACTTTTTTTGAAAATAAAGCATTTTAAATGCCACGATAATCACATTTAATTCATTTTAATGCCAATTAAGGCATAAATTAAAAAAAATAATAGTTTAATGACAATTTTTTGCAGCTGAATTTTTTGCTGGGGAATTTTCACCAGAAATAATTTCAGTATTTAAAATTAGGTGCTAAAAAAAAAGAAAAAAAAGGCAGATTCCAGTTTTTCTTCCATATTCTTGGAGCATCAGCTTAGCTTAACTCCTGGTCAGACAGAGGCCAAGACTCAATTCTTCTTCATCTTCTTTTCTAACTCCCATGGACTCTCCAGTTGGCAAATTGTCTCACCTCATCTCTTCGTAAGAACAATAAGTTAGTCAGATCCATGTTTCAGAAACCTCATTGGAACCGTCTGGTAGATGCGGTATCCTGGAAACATACATGGCTGCTACCTAATCACCATCTCCTCTCTAACAAGGTGAGGGAAGTTTCATTCAAACAGGATTTATCCAGCCAAAGACTACCTTAAAAAATTCAAATCTGATATTATTGTGAACTGCACTGTCTGTGATCTTCTTCAAGAATCTGTTACACATTTGTTCCGCTTGTGTCCATACGCTAAGACTTTCTGGGAACACTTTTGTAACTATGTGGGTTCAGAAATTTTAAAAGATTTTCAACTTTGTAGGGAAAACGTTCAATTTGGTTTTCAGCTGCAAAGTAAAAGGTTTCCCAAACTAGGGATGGGAATCGAAAACCGGTTCCTGTTCAGAACCGGTTCCGTATTTTCCGATTCCATGGATTCATTTGGCAGCTCGCTGAACGATTCTTTTTTCGATCCCCGCAGCACCAGAGCCTAGAGCGCCGGCTCTGGGGAGCACGACTTACGTCACGTTTTTTTACGTAAGTTACGCAAGTTGGAAGAACAATTCGAGGAGGAAGACAACGAGCTGCGGTCACTTTGTGAATCAAAGCCCCGTCTTTCCTTAGCCCAGAGGGTAGATCAGGAAATCCAGCTCTATAAAAGCTTGCCCTCCATCCCCTGCAGGGATAGCGCCACACTGTGGTGGTGGAACAAGCAAGATACGCTGCCCTTGCTATCTGGACTGGCTGAAAACTACCTCTGTGTGCAGGCTTCCTCCACCCCATCTGAGAGGGTGTTCTCCACGGCTGGAGACACCATAAGCCCTGAAAGATCCCGTATCCTTCCAGAAAAAGCAGATATACTCATCTTTCTGCAAAAGAACTGTTAATTTTCCCTACTACTGTTTTATAATTAGTATTTTTTGTTATTTAAAATAGGTTATTATCCCATCATTTGTTATTAGACATTGTTGGTTATTAAGTTTGTTCTTGTATTCATTTTTCATTTAAACACGGATGTTACTCCAGTTTCACATTTCCTGTGGACATCTTGATCTTTTTGAGTTTGTAAGATTGTGCAATAGTTAAGTAAACAAAGTTGATGCTGATAATTTGTTCTCCTTTTTTCCCCAAATTGGAATCGAAAAAAGAATCGATAAAGAATCGAATCATTTCATAGAATCGAAAAGGGAATCGGAATCGTGAAAATCTTTTCAATTCCCAACCCTATCCCAAACCCTTTCCTTATCAGACTCTTAATTTAATTTGCATAAATTGAAATTCAAATAAAACAAAGCCAGACTTTAATGCTTATTTATTTGAACTTAATATAGTACTAGGATGTGCAGTGGGTAGCACTGCTGCCTTGCAGCAAGAAAGTTCTGGGTACGATTCCCGGCCCGGGGTCTTTCTGCATGGAGTATGCCTGTTCTCCCTGTGCATGCGCGGGGTCTCTCCAGGTACTCCAGCTTCCTCCCACAGTCCAAAAACATGACTGTTAGGTTAATTGGCTTCTCTAAATTCTCCTTAGGTGTGTGTGTGAATTATTGTTTGTCTCTGTGTTGCCAGCGGATGGACTGGTGACCTGTCCAGGGTGGACCCTGCCTGCCGTAGACAGCTGGAGATAGGCACCAGCACCCCTCACCACCCCGCTTAAGATAAAGCGTGGTGGATAATGGATGGATGGATTTTAGTAACATTAAAGGGATAGTTCGGGATTTTTGACATGAATCTGTATGGAATCTCACCAAAAGTACGCATGGGAATCGAAAACTGGTTCCTGTTCAGAACCGGTTCCGTGTGTTCCAATTCCATGACACCGTTTGGCAGCTAGCTTAACAATTCCCTTAATAATTCCAGGCAGCACCAGAGCCTAGCGCGATGTTAACCACTGCCCGATCGCCCGGGGCATGTAGTTTTTATTGTCGGGAGAGTACAAATTTCATTGCATTTGCCCAGTGGGCAAAAAAAAAAAAATTTATCATTACTCAAAATTACTTTAAAATCACCGACATTCGATGGAAACGACCCAGAAGCATTTCCGGCGCCATTTTTGTTGTTTTGTACACATTCTCGCGTGATTTGAAAAAGCTTGGTGATTTTCCGTCAGATGGCGTGATTTTTGTCCACCTAGAGGTAATTTTGATGTAGTTACCAAAACGATAAACATCTAGAAAGCGCTATCATATGGCAGTCTTCTGTACAGTGATGCAGGTCATACATAAAAAAAATTTTCATTACATTTTTTTCTCTTAGACATTGGAGAGGTGCATTTAAATTTTATAAAGAAACATGTTAAATTGGTGAGTAGTAGTAGTGTAAGGTTTTAACCTGTCAAGTTTTTTTTTAGATTTTTAACATTACAATTTATATTTTTCCAAGCACTAAACAGTTTAAAGCAAAGTTAAGTTTGAAAAGAATGTGCAGGAAGGATTGAAAAGCATGTTAACACGGTAATGTAGGCTTGAGTTCATTATCTGACGCATGCAGATACACACCAGGAACCTGGAAACTTTCTGAATTACAAAAAACATTTAAAAAACAAATATGTTTCATTGATATATATACAAAAATGAATATTAGGAACTATATTTATCAAACATTATACTGGGCTAGTAAAAATTGTTTCTGGGCAAATGTGAAAGTCACTTGCCCTTTGGGCAAGTGGTAAAAATCCTTAAAGTCAACCCCTGTTGGGTCACGTTTTTTTATGCAAGTTACACACACGGCATTCAGTTAGCAAGTACGACGTGACCAGGCGTAAGTCTAGAAAAGCAAACAAAAGAGCTCAAAGTGATCGAAAGTTTGGCTTCATTTTAAGGAAGAGAAAGAATGCATCAAGGCGGTTTGCAATCATTTCAAAGTGGCAATTACACCGGCGGGAGGAAATACATCCAACATGCAGAAACACCTGCGCACACAACATGGCATACATTTTAATGAATGTCGTGTTTTTGATGCTTCCGGACAGAAGCTAAAGTTACGACAAGCATGGAAGGCAACTCTGGTGGTAAGTAGCTAGTTTTATATCACTGGCTGTGCTTCATGTGGTTCCAAGTAAATCATATGACATTTCTGGAAATAAACCAAGTTCCTACCTCTCTTTGGGGTTATTAAAGAAGTGTGCCTTTCTCGTTAATCCAGCCCTTCATTGCTAGTATATTTAATTAGAACTACTGGTAGCTGCAATTCTGTAAGGAAACATGCTACAAAGTTGCCCCGCAGTTCACAGAGCGAGAGAAAAGTGACGCTCGTTGATTTAAATCAGGGGGAGATGAGTTTGTACAGTAATGCTTTTTCACTAAACGGATGCCTTCTCCATTAAATTTAGATGACTGGAACGCGAATCGATAAGAGAATCGAATCGTTTCACAGAATCCGTAAGAGAATCGTAATCGTGAAAATCTTAATTCCCAACCCTAACCAAAAGGGACAACAAAAAAACAAGACAAAAAAACCCCCCACACATTTCAATCTGTTCCCAACTAAAAAGTCTGGACAATTTATCTTCATAGAATATATGTGTTTTGGTACAATATATGTATGTAAATCTGTTTATACACATATGTATATATGATACTCCTAAACACATAATTTTGCAAGTTTGTTTGTCTTTCCTCCAGACTGTACTTGTTTATTGTGATTATATTACTATACCCCCCCGGCATATTCGTTTGTTTATCTGTATATTTTATATGTTATTGCTGACATTAAGTGAAAAAAAAAAAAAAAAAAAAAAAAAACATTTTATGTCCTGTTTGGACAAAGGGGCCCTGAAAAGCCACGCCCACAGAGACACCTGCAAGCATCAGCGCTTTTCCAGCTGCTACCAGTTGATCCAGAACACCAGGAACCTGGACAGGCACCAGCAGCAAGAACCGCTCCACAGCTTTCCTAATTATCAGCACATAAATACGCTGCTGAACTCTGACCTTTTTCATGCCCACACAGTTTATTCTGAAATTTGAGAAAGGCAGAAAACGGGGCCCCACTCCTCGGCTTCACATAGCCGCGAGCGGAACAGCCAGAGCCAGGGCGTCCAGCTTGTGCTCTCACTGCCAGCAGAATAATGTATCCGTTACCTCCTGGCCTCCTAGCTTAGCCTTCAGAGCCCCGCTAAGCAGCTAGCAAACAGGCAGGCATGACAGTCAGCGGGCAGCTTTCTTCACACTCACCCTAAATCCTCCAGTGCGATGAGGATGTCAATCTCCATGTCGGATATCTATGCTGAAAGCGGTGCCTCAGCAGGACAAATTTCACTCAGCTGGTACACGTTCAATACTTTCTTCTTCTTCTTCTTCTTCTACTTCTTCTTCTTTTCTATCATATCTTTTCTGTTGCGTTTAATGGCGGTTGGCAACCACTTTTCGGTGCATTACCGCCACCAACTGGTGAGGAGTGTGCATCAGAATTACCCTATTCATAGAGATACTTATATTTATATATATTCTATATCTATACAAATACTAACATTCAAAAAAATACTAATACTCCTAATTATTCATCTTATTGTTAAATATTTAAATAAATCTTTTTACATTTTTTTTAACTTTTTCTGCAGAATATCTATCAAATCAAATTTAACTTTCTCCATATTTAGATCTAATCAAATTCCTTCTTTCTTCTTCATACTTCTTCTTACAATACATCACTACATGTTCTACAGTTTCTACATGTCCACAATATTCACATTTGCCTGATAAGTGTTTCCCTATTTTGAATAGTGTATTATTTAATCCTTTATACCCAAATCTAAGTCTTGAAATAACTGTTTCCTCTCTTCTGCTCTCCCCATTTCTCCTATAAAACCATCTTCCTCTCCTTTCATCTTCCCATTGTTTTTGCAACTTTTCCTTCATCCTTTGTTTAATGATACTTTTCATTTCTGTCTTACTTAAATTAATCATCATATCAATGGTTTTAATTTGAGATGCTTCCTCAGCAATCTTATCTGCAATTTCATTTACTTTAATCCCTATATGTGCTGGCACCCAAATAAATATAACACTAATACCCATCATTTCAACTTGATATAAAACTTGCTGTATTTCAATTAAATTTGTCTGATCTACTTTCTGAAAAATGATTTTGTATACTCATTAAAGCTGAACTTGAATCTGAACATACAATTGATCTTAATGGTCTCCCTTCCTCTATACATTGTAGTGATAATAATATTGCTAATAATTCTCCTGATAATTAATGATATATTCTCCTATTTACTTTAATTTATTTTATATTATGACGAATTGCAAGCTGCATACATCCACCTACTGTACATGAGTGTGTAGCAACATTACTTTACATTAAATTCCATTTTTTTATTATGTATTCTGGAGAATAATAATAAAGTGAATATCCTTCATATTTCCTTCTTTTCCCAATATTCCTTTAAGATTCTAGTCTTTGCGTGTCTGTCTAACCATTCTTCTTCAGAACCAGTCGGTCTGCACCTGGAATAGAAAACTTTAAACTGTAAAAGGACTTTATACAAGCCTCTGATCAAAAAAATAATTGTTGAATTGGTGATGATCTCATGGCCCCTGTGCATGATCTCAGTGCTTGATACTGAACAATATACATTTTTTAAGTAATAACTCTGATGCTGAACCAAAAGCAATACATCCACAATCACACACAGACCCAATCAAACCTGTATAAATTGATTTCAATGCTTTCCGCTCAGCTCCCTACTCTTTCCCAATCAAACATCTCAAAACATTTAGAACTCTTTTGCATTTATCAATCATCTTTTCAGTATGAAGTTTCCAAGTAAGTCTTCCATCCAACCATATGCCAGGTTTTATGGCAGTTGGCAAGCAACTAATTGATGCATTTCCACCATCTACTGGTATGGAGTGTATGATACAAACGTGTTATTTTTAGACATCGAAATATTATCCTTTAAATGTTCATTTCTGAAAAACTTCTAAATAATTCAAATTGATTTAATTTAACTTTTGCTTTACTTACATTTTAAAGGGACACTATGCAACATTTTTCAGTTAATTAATGTGTTCCATAACGTTATGGGTGATTAAATGAGTCATTTCAGGTTGAACAAAGGTATTCTCGGCCGCCCTGGTGGTCTGTGGGGGAAATACTGCACTTGCAATTGCAGGAGCACCGACCCGCACCCACAGGCTCAGAAGTCTCACGAGAGTCAGTCTTGCTTTACGGCGAGAACTGCTACACCCCCCAGTTAAAAGCATTCTCGTTGCTAGCACAGTGGCGATCTTTGTGCAGTTATGCTACGTTCACGCAGCAAAAGCAGCAAAATCGTGTCTGCTGCTTCCTTTTTGCTGATTGTACCAGTTAGTTCTGACCCGTGGCTGAAGCAGCTTTGCTTGTGCGGTGCAAAAGTGTGTCTGAGGCGCGTTGGGCGGAGCTTCACTATCCTTTCTCTGCCTTGCAGCTATATTTGCTGTGATCAGTGGGAATAAAGTAGTTTTAATATGTGTTAAGTGAGAAAATACACCTGAAAACTTAATCAGTGCAGTCAGTTCATTCAGATTATTATCCTGCCTTCAATATTTTTTCTGTCGGAGCCGCTCAGACCCCCACATACCAGGGATGCGCCGACAGTATGGATCCCTTCATCAGCAGCGGTTCACCGCGGCATCTGGTAGGTGTTTTTCATCTAAATAATCCAAACTGCATATTCTGCCGGCAGATTTCTGCATTTAAGTTAATTTAGGCGTCAATAAACTGTTTAAAAGGAGTGATCATCAGCGCTGTGTCTCTCTCCCCGACGCGCTGCTTCAGCTGCTCAGACGTGCTGCGCCTGCTGCACGTCTGAGCAGCTGGCGCAGCACCGCACCGCTGGACCTTTTGCTGCGCCTTGACGCGCGTCAACCATTGACTTTGCATGTAAACTCGCTGCTTCTGTCGCGCCAGCTACATCCAGTGTGAACGCAGCGTTAGTCATTCGCTGCTAAGCTCAAAACAACCGCGCCTGGCGGAGAAACCAGGAGAACAGCTGAGCATATTTACGACAGTGCACTTTTACTTTCGCCCTCTGGGGGGAGCCTCGCTGGAAAATCAACACCGGTTGCATAGTGTACCTTTAAAATAATTGCTGTCTCTCCTCATATTTATTACAGTAAAACATCACATGTTCCATTGTTTCATCTATGCCTCAGTATTCACATTCCTATCCCTATGGTTCCCCATGATAAACAGAGAACTGTTTAAACTGGTAGGCCCAAATCTCAAAGGAGAAATCATTTTTTTCTTCTCTTCTAGTGCTGTTCTTCTCATTTCTCCAGTTTTCTTTTGAATTTTATAAAACCAACTACTTTTTCCTTTCTCCCATTCCTTTTGCCATTATCCTCTATTTTCTGCTTCATTACGGTAATATTTTAACTTCAGATTTAATAAAATTGATGATTAAATAATTAAATAAATTTCTAACACAGAGGTCACAGATTAGCGGCCCATGTTCCGGATCCGGACCCAACCTGATTTAAAACATTTATAGATTACTGCATGTTGTCTGATGGCAGTAGCTGTGCCTCAATTCGCAGACTGCATCCTTTTTTTTTTCTTTCTCCCAATACAATTTTATTTGTTTCTGCAAAGAACATTACAGAGCAACCATTTTGCACTATAGGTATTCTGAACAACCATTTTTTTTACAGATATTTTTAAAAGGTGTAAATTCAATTTATTAATTTTTTTAACTTATTTTTTGGGGTTGGATGGGGTTTATAAAAAATATAAAAATGTTGAAATGCTGTGTGGTTCTTGTTATACTGTACATCACAATTGTAACATCAACAAAACACTACGATTTTTCAACGGCATTGTACATTTGTTTTAACAATAATAAAAATCTGATTTAAAAAAAAAGGTGTAAATTCAGATGTTTACCACTCAAGTAAATGTCCTCATTTTGTGCAAAACAAGAAACAGTAAGGAAGAAATACAAGGAAAAAAATAAATAAAAGTAAACGCTAGGGGGAAAAAAATGTCTAAATAAGCAGATTAAAATGGACAAAGGCTTCATAAGTTTTTATTGCTTTCTTATTATCTGATAATTGTACGGTTTCAATGTATTGTTTGAGTTTGTGCTTAAAGCAGTAATGCAGGTTTGGAGCCTCTATATTTACATTTATATATAAAGAACTTGGCCATTATAATAATCAAGTCAATTACATATACCTTATCTGATCCCTTTGGTTGAACCTTGCAATTTCCGTTAATGTCGAATAGTATAGTCTTCCAAAATAAAAGAAAATCTTTGTCTATTTTTCTCTTAAGTAATAAATGTCGTACCAGAAGGACTGGATAAGTGGGCAGTTCCAGAATAGATGAACAAGTGTTTCAGGATTATTACAGCAGAAGCTGTAAGTAACATCAATGTTTTTTTTAAAGCGTTTCTGGATAAAGACTTTGGTAGGATAAATGTTATAGATTATCTTAAATGAGATTTCTTTAGTTTTGTTATTTATCAAATGTCGATTTGGAAGCAGTCAGACTACTTTCCAGTTGATGTAATCCAAGAATCTTCCCCAGTGTGAGATGGCATAAGGTAGCAGGCTGCGTCCTTCGAAGGACGCATTTTAAGGCCAGTTACGTCACAACGCTGTGCGAAGGCGCGTGTTTCAAAGTCGCTTGTGGAGAAATGTCCTGGGCCGTGATTAGTGAGGAAACAGGAACTGATTCTTGTGGAATGGAAAAGGGAAATAGTGACAATGAAGAAGGTTGAAAGAGGGTAGCCTCAAAAAATTAGAAAAAGCGGAAAAAGCAGCACTCAATTGAAGGGGAGTCCAGTTCAGAACATTCAAGTGATGATCAATCTAGTAATTCCCCAGGTTCCCAAAGTTCAAAGTGCCAGAATACTGTATAGTGGAGACCTGTTAATATACTGCAGAGGCAGCGCTCAGCAAGGCAAAGCAATACAGATCAGCAAAATTGAGGGGAAAGAGTTCAGCGCAGCTTGGTGGAGAAGATCAGCAGAGGAGTCATTGGAGGAGTTCCTCTTAAAGTGTCTGAAAAAGAGATTCTAGAAAACATAAATGGTGCAAAAGTAAAAGAAGTTAAATGGATAAAAACAACAAGAAACGGAGAAAGTTGTGACAGCTTCTCTGTGTTAATTAAATTTAAAGAGGAGCAATTACCCAGCAAAGTTTTCATTGGTTACATTAGCTACAATGGCAAAATTTACAATCCTCCACCTCTAAGATGTTTCAAATGGCAAACATTCGGACATATAGCAGCAGTATGCAAATGAAAACAGAGATGTGGAAGGTGTGCAGGAGAGCACGAATATGGAAAATGTGGGAAAGAAATTAAATTGAATGCTGTAACTGTGGTGGAGAACATACT